CCCCACGTTGACCACAGAACTTCTAAGGTTACCTGCCACTCTCCCTTACCAAGGGTATAACCCCCCCCCCCCCCAACACACACACATGCATCAGATTCTTAACTTACAATATTTATGATTTACCAATTTATGTTACTACACTGACTCTCAATTTCACAATATTGTATAAACTTTGATGAATCGCTCGTCTATGGGTCATTCAATAATGTTAGCAGACTTCTAGATGTTACCACTGCTAGGCTTAGGCTCGGCTACAAGTACCTCTGGGAGTTTGTAACATCTGCTGATTTACATTTGACTAAATGTAAACTCTGTCAGCAGAACTATTCGCATACTTTGCGTCATTATATAATGGAATGTGAAAAAATTGCGGAATTTAGAAATAACACCATCAATAGTGTCCAAGAAATGTGTAAGTACTTCATTCATAATGATGTGCTGCCCGAAATTTTAGCGAAGTATCCAAAATTTGCTTACTGTAGGTAATGCATGCACATGACTGTAAAGCTGCCGCCCAGTTGGGTGGGTGTGCAGCAAGACTAGTAACTGTGTGACTCACTATAGATGTAAAGTGCCTCGTATAGTGACTGTTGTGAGCCTCTTGTAATGTCACTTGTGACACAAAGATTATTGATGTGTGTAATTGTGTGGGTGATTAGATATGTATGTATATGTGTATACGTATATATATATATATATATATATATATATATATATATATATATATATATATATATATATATATATATATATATATATATATATATATATATATATATATATATATATATATATATATATATATATATATATATATATATATATATATATATATACATGTATGTATGAGGGTGTGTACATGTGTATACAACATTGATAATTTTTTAACTAGCGTCATATATTGTTATTTGCTTAGCTAAACGAACTAGAGGGTTCAGTTCCTGAACCGATTATGTGCCTCTGTAATCCTGTACACCACCGCCCACGGGATGGGTATGGGGTGCATAATAAAGAAAGAAATTGAATATGAAGTCGATTTAACTTCCAAACATATATTTTTTAATAAATGTTAAATGTTTTCTGGCTAGTTATGTTAGATTTTATTAAAAATACGTATTCTACTTGTTAACATTATAATTTAAATTTGTGATAATTTGAGCAGAGAAGTGCGACCCCTGGATATGCCAACAAACACTTTCCAAACAACGATATATCTTGGATAAGTCGCTCCACAACATTGACGCTTGGACCGTCGACTTCCTTTGATGCTACTTATTTAATAATGAAATTACATTAGTTTGGAGTAAATATATGTTTTCTCATGTTCTGCATTCAGCACCCACATTATAGTGAGTAAATATACCATATTACTTCATTACTTAAATAATGCTATGAGGGTTTGAGTAGCTTTGGGTATTTAGTGCACAGAATCTCCAATAGATGGGGCGAGAGTCGCCCCATCTCTCTCACCCAAGAGAGAGTCGAAACTTAATTTAAAATTGATATATCTTTGTCCTCGAACATGATATATTTCATTTGGTGCAATCATAATAATGTTCATATCTCGGTCTTTCTGGAGGCATATAAGATTTTAGGCTTTATTAGCGAATCTTTGTTAATTATACAATATATCGGCAAGTGCGTAGGCGTCTGCACTCCATGCCCGACAAGCTACTGAGTGCTACTATAAAAACATATGTATCTTCACTTGAGCTATAAATATGTCTATTGTAATGTATTTAAAATGAAGCTCTTATTTCTATCTTGCTTAAGACTTATAAAACATTTGTGTTTATTAACGAATTTACGTGAAATAAACATTGATCTGAGAGAGAGTTGCTCTGTCGTTCAGTCTGTACGGGGTGGGAGCTCCGTAATTTTTAAAATACATGTATCTTCATTAGAACTTTAAGTATGTCTATGGTAAAGTGTTTAAAGTGAAGCTTATATGTCTGTCTTTCTTGAGACATATAAAACATATATGTTTATTAACGAATTCACGTGAAATAAACATTGTTCTGAGAGAGAGTTGCTCGGTCGATCGATCTGTCCGGGGTCGGAGCTCGGCTATTATAAAAGTACACGTATCTTCGCTTTAAATTTAAATATGCCCATGGTAAGGTATTTAGAATAAAGCTTATATTTCTATCTTTCTTGTGACATATAAAACTCTTACGTTTATTAAGGAATCTGCGTGAAATAGGCATGGTTCTGAGATGAATGCTGCGGTTTGCGAGCTCGACAATGGACGCCATACATATCCAGTGGGTGTTATTGGACCCCATACCCATTTTATGGGTGGTTGGAGCCCCATACCTATTCTATGGGTGGTTGGAGCCCCATACCCATCCTGTGGGTTGTAGTGGACGCCATACTCATCCTGTGGGTGGTATTGGACCCCATACCCTTCCTGCGGGTGGATGTGATCCCCATACTCATCCTCTGGGTGGATGTGACCCTCATACCCATCCTGTGGGTGGTATTGCACCCCTTACTCACCTAACAGGTGGTAGTGGACAATATACCGATCCTGCAGTTGATATAGTAGACACAATACCATCCTGTTTACAGTAGTTTACCCCATAGACATTCCAATGAACCATCGTTTTCTGTTAGCGTTCCTACAAAACATCCTTTAAAGATTTGTAAAGCACAAACTATGGTATATAATATTGATTGGTGAAGGACTGTTATTCTATGTAATCATTTTTAGTGCTTATTATAATTTACTAAGAACAACTAATATTTCTCAAAACAAAACTACGAGCCTTCAATAGGAAGTAGCTGATCTATAATATTCTAAGAGCATGGACAATAGTAGGTAAATTTCACAACCCATGTGGGACCTGAAAAGTACAATTTTCCTTATAATTGAACCAATCACGACTATTCTGCTATCTAGGTTGACGGACGGGTACTGTGAGACGTAAATTGGTACGTGAGGAAGAGTTTGGGCTTTGGAAAAAAAGTAACTGGGAATATATCACATATTTACTAATTCATATTCAACATATTGACTTTAAGCATTAAGTCATATATGTGCTGTCTTGTGTGAGAACGGGTTGTTATTATCAATGTGATGTCAACGAAAAAGTTCAACATGATACCACAAGAACTGAGGCACAGGTATCTGGAGGAAATTTAATTTAAAGAAGCCGGAAATGAATTAGATCAAATATACACTGATGAGTCACCTTATCCTGTCAATGGCAGGGCTGTTGCAGCATACACTGTAATCATGAATAATGCCTTTTAACGCGAAAATGAAAAAAAACACATATTGAGAACTATGCCTCTTCAATGCAAGCAGAGCTAACTGCCAATGTTATGCCGTTGAGATTCCTTGAACAAAACACTAATGATGCAGTGATCAGTACTGATTCACAAGCAGCGCTACAAAGCCTTTGTAAAAATCGGGCAGAAAATCTTGGCTGGCTGCTGAAGGAGACCATATTGAATACTTCATACCCAAGACTCTTCAACAAATTATAGGTATCATCAGGCAAAATCATCGTGACAAGGTAACTGAGGAAAGGAGGATAGAAGAACAAATCAGTGAATCTGTACGCTGGTACAATATGGTTGCTGCTGGCACTCCCAATCAATATGGACGAAGAGGAGGTGGCCGCGGGAGAGAATCAGTTGTTACGACTCTGGGTTCATATTTGGAAACCAGAGGTCAATTTGAGCTCTAAATAATTACTATACATTAATTGATAGGATTGGATCATGTGAGAAGGATATTTAATTAACAATAACATTTACATTCATGGATCCTGAATTCATCCTGAAGCCAGTGTTTTGGTATCCCTAAGTGTACTCTAGAGGGATAGTGAAGCCACGTGTGCTTAAGTCTGTGATACCTATGATATAAGCGTCCTTCAGGAAAGTAGACTTTACCCTAATTTGCAATTGTAAACCTTGCATCTTGCTTATGTGGACCAAGATATTTAACGTAAGGTAAAGTGGTAAAGTTATTTATTGTATTTATGTATATGGGTTATTTGCGTGTTTAATAAATAAGGATAAAGCTAGGAGTATCTTTTCATCCTATTTAGAGTGGAGTAGGGGATTACCTTAGATGGCAGACGTTTTTCTAGCCAAACAAGTATTCATTGCTGGGAATATTCTTTCCCTGGGGGCCGGGTCCTACCTATTCCCACTATTTTAGGAACTCCTGTGATTTTTATTATTGGCCCTCTCAGTACAACCACCTGCCCCCATAACATCAGTAATAGCAAGAATCCATCTTGGATGCAAATATCCATGGAAATTCGGAATGGAAACAACAGTTGAGCAGAGGAGCTGCAAAATCTGTGGTGAGAGTGATAGACACCGCCTTGACCACAACCTGAGAGAGTGTGAACATCTAAGAGTCAATAGAAATATGTGTAGAATAATAAACCTCACATTGTTTGAGTTAGGAATAGTATCCAGCCACTTTGACTGGACGGTAGAGCAACGGTCTCGCTTCATGCAGGTCGGCGTTCAATCCCCGACCGTTCAAGTGGTTGCACACATTCCTTCCCCCCGTCCCATCCCAAATCCTTATCCTGACCCCTTCAAAGTGCTATAAAGTTGTAATCGCTTGGCGCTTTCCCCTGATAATAATAATAATAACAACAAAATTAGTTAGGAAAACACTATTTGTCAAAAATAGACACTGTTCTTAAGAGATTTCCCCATTTTGCACCCACAAGATAACGTAAGCTTTTAAGGGTTGACAGTGTTGATATTCTTTTTTGAGGAGCTGTTCACTTGAGACAGTTAAGCAAGTCCCAGCTGTGTCTGGGTACAAGTGACAGGATGAACAACCAAGCGGAATTTCTTCCTATTGGGGAGTGTTGTACATGCTGCTATGACGGTGTGTCCGCTCACAGGATGAGTGGCACTGCCCAATGAACTCGCCCCTCGGGGCAAAATTTAAAAATTAATTAAATAGGTTTTAGATACGGATAAGGAGAAAACATGTCAAAATATTGAGCAATTGTCCCATACAGATCATCGACGAGAAGCAGCAGGAGTTGGGACCAAATGAAGAGGGTTACATCGCTGTCTCTCTGAAGGATCACCACCCTATTGGGCTATTTACAGGTCAGATTTATGTTTGGTTTAAGTTACATTAATGTCCGTATGACATGTTAGACTGATGTACACTATTAGACACTGTCTTGTCCATACTGCAGAACAATGATCTTCACTCCCCTTCGTTGCTCTGCATTATCCAACACATTCCTGCATTATTGCTCTAACCTACGCGGCCCCGTATTGTCTGACAGTGATCCACACTTCCTGCCAGTGTCACCTACGCCTCACTGTTCTCTGTTCTACACCGACCCACAAAGATGTACCCACGACGTGGGTCTAGAACGATCCACGTTCTAGAGTCGCACACTACACTCCCACGCAGCCCTACACACTCCCTACAATTACCTGCAGTACCTTCTGTGCTCGACATTGTACTTCTACGTTTAAGTGTTCTAAACATTCCTGCATTGCTTTGCACTGTTCTCTGTACTTTCAATATTCCTAAAGTATTCTCTACCACCCAACACTGCTCTACACTGCCCCACACAATTATGTTCTCTCCACCACTGCTCAATCATGGAACACACTCTCCTACATTGTCCCACACTGCTCAACACTGTCCCACACCGCTCTACATAGTCCCACACTGCTCTACACAGTCCCACACTGTTCTAAACAGTCCCGCACTGCTCTACACAGACCTACACTGCTCTTCACAGTCCCACACTGCTCTACACTGTCCCACACTGATCTACACTGTCCCACACTGCTCTACACTGTCCCACACTGCTCTACACTGTCCCACACTGCTCTACACTGTCCCACACTGATCTACACTGTCCGACACTGCTCTACACTGTCCCACACTGCTCTACACTGTCCCACACTGCTCTACACTGTCTCACACTGCTCTACACTCCCACACTGCTCTACACTGTCCCACACTGCTCTATACTGTCTTACACTGCTCTACACAGTTCCACACTGCTCTACACAGTACCACACTGTTCTACACTGTCCCACACTGCTCTATACTGTCTCACACTGCTCTACACAGTTCCACACTGCTCTACACATTCCTACACTGCTCTACACTGTCCTACACTGGTCTATACTGTCCCACACTGCTCTACACTGTCCCACACTGCTCTACACTGTCCTACACTGGTCTATACTGTCCCACACTGCTCTACACTGTTCCACGTACACTGCTCTACACTGTCCCACACTGCTCTACACAGTCCCACACTGCTCTACACTGTCCCACACTGCTCTGCACAGTCTCACACTGCTCTACTCAGTCCCACACTGCTCTACTCAGTCCCACACTGCTCTACACTGTCCCACACTGCTCTACACAGTTCCACACTGCTCTTCACAGCCCCCACACTGCTCTACACAGTCCCACACAGCTCTACACTGTCCCACACTGCTCTACACAATCTCACACTGCTCTACTCAGTCCCACACTGCTCTACACTGTCCCACATTGCTCTACACTGTCCCAGACTACTCTATACTGTCTCACACTGCTCTACACAGTTCCACACTGCTCTACACAGTCCCACACTGTTCTACACTGTCCCACACTACTCTATACTGTCTCACACTGCTCTACACAGTTCCACACTGCTCTACACATTCCTACACTGCTCTACACTGTCCTACACTGGTCTATACTGTCCCACACTGCTCTATACTGTCTCACACTGCTCTACACAGTTCCACACTGCTCTACACTGTCCCACACTGCTCTACACAGTCCTACACTGACCTACACTGTCCCACACTGCTCTACACTGTCCCACACTGCTCTACACTTTCCCACTTTGCTCTACACTGTTCCACGTACACTGCTCTACACTGTCCCACACTGCTCTACACAGTCCCACACTGCTCTACACTGTCCCACACTGCTCTACACAGTCCCACACTGCTCTACACAGTTCCACACTGCTCTGCACAGTCCTCACACTGCTCTACACAGTCCCACACAGCTCTACACTGTCCCACACTGCTCTACACTGTCCCACATTGCTCTACACTGTCCCATGTACACTGCTCTACAGTGTCCCACACTGTTCTACACTGTCCCATACTGCTCTACACTGTCCCACACTGCTCTACACTGTCCTACACTGTCCCACACTACTCTATACTTTTCCAACACTGCTTTACACTGTCCCACACTGCTCAACACAATCTCAAACTGCTCTACACTTTCCCACACTGCTCTACACAGTCCCATACTGCTCTACACTGTTCCACACTGCTCTACACAGTCCCACACTGCTCTTCATAGTCCCACACAGCTTTACACTGTCCCACACTGCTCTACACAGTCTCACACTGCTCTACTCAGTCCCACACTGCTCTACACTGTCCCACACTGCTCTACAGTGTCCCACACTGTTCTACACAGTCCCCACACTGCTCTACACTATCCCACACTGGTCTACACAGTCCCACACTGCTCTTCACAGTCCCACACAGCTCTACACAGTCTCACACTGCTCTACTCAGTCCCACACTGCTCTACACTGTCCCACACTGCTCTACACAGTCCCACACTGCTCTACACAGTCCCACACTGCTCTACACTGTCCCACACTGCTCTACTCAGTCCCACACTGCTCTACACAGTCCCCACATTGCTCTACACTGTCGCACACTGCTCTACACAGTCCCACACTGCTCTACACAGCCCCACACTGCTCTACACTGTCCCACACTGCTCTACACTGTCCCACACTGCTCTACACTTTCCCACTTTGCTCTACACTGTCCCACGTACACTGCTCTACACTGTCTCACACTGTTCTACACTGTCCCATACTGCTCTACACTGTCCCACACTGCTCTACAAAGCCTCATACTGCTCTACACTGTCCTACACTGCTCTACACTTTTCCAACACTGCTCTACACTGTCCCACACTGCTCAACATAATCTCAAACTGCTCTACACTTTCCCACACTGCTCTACACAGTCCCACACTGCTCTACACAGTCCCACACTGCTCTACACAGTCCCACACTGCTCTACACAGTCCCACACTGCTCTACACAGTCCCACTCTGCTCTACACAGTCCCACACTGCTCTACTCAGCCCCTCACTGCTCTACACTGTCTCACACTGCTCTACACTTTACCAAGCTGTATTACATTGTCTTGTGTTCATAGTATATTGGCACTTGCATATTAATTAGGCTACCTTGGGCCCCAGATCATGCTGGTTCTCTGACCTCCCGACTACCTCTCTCTGCTTCTATCCCTCCTCTGTGGCAGGCTAGAGCCCCAAGCCCCAGTTATGACCATTCTGGAGGATAGATCACCTGGAGTGGCTCCATCTCTCATGGTAACAACTATGCCATTTACCCCCCTTCCTTCTTACTAGGGTGCTCGGCACTGTCATGTCCACACTCGCACGATTCCTTCCAGTTCTAATATATTCTAAGCATTGTTTGGTCCTGCTAAGTGGACTACGTATTTTGATCTCAGTCAAGTTATTTCTACACGTCCTGATGATATATTCATCCATAAACACCTAGTTGATTCGGTGGATACCTTTCTCACTTTTAACCCGACCCGTACTGGTACACGTGTCGTTGCTGCCCCTTCTCAGGAAACGGCTGACCGCTTAGCCTCGTTGTCCTGCACTGATTAGACCCCTTTTCGGATCTCCAAAAATGCCCGGTTAATTGCCAGCATTGGCACAGTCCTTATCCCGCGCCATGTTGTGACTGGTGATAGGGAACTGAAAGACTGCCACGAGGATATTTCATATATCATTGAGGCCCAGGGCCATTCTATCCTTCGGACTGATACATTCACTAGACCCCCTCGTGGTCGTCATCGTCAGCCTCTTCGTGTTGTGAAGGTCACTTTTGATTGTAGATCCCTTTCATCTTTCGTCATTCTTGCAGATGCCAGAGGCTCCGTTCAGGAGTACATTCCCTCTCCTCGCCTCTGCAACTGGTGCTGGAAATTTGGACATGGTCCCTTCACATGCACAAGTGAGGTGTGTCTATGCCTCTTGTGTGGAGTCTCGGGTCATTCTCAGATGGAGTGCCTTTCTTTCCAAGCTCACGGTACCAATTGTGGTGACGCCCACCCTACCTTCTCTCGCACATGTGTGCACTACAAATTTGAGGAGGCCATCCTCATTTTGAAACATCGTGATCATATATCTTTTCCTGAGGCAAGACGCCAGGTTCGCCGTCTTCCCTCTTTCTCTGGCATGTGTTATGCTCGTGTGTTGCGTTCCACTTCTTCTCGCCCTCTCCCGCTTTCTCAGTTTCACAACCGTTTCCAGGCCTTTGACCCGGATACCTCCACCATCACCTCACCTGCTCCTTTGCATTCTGAACCAGAGGGTCTTCCTCCTGGTTCCCCGTCTGGTGTTTCTTTCCTTCCTTCCCAGTCTCTTGTGCCCTCTCTCCCTTTTCGACCCGATCATTCTTCCCAGGCCACCCCTCTGTCTTTTGGCCTTCTACATCGCCTGTCCGTCTCAGGTTATTGTCAATCCTCCTCCCAGCAATCTTCACGTTGACCGCTCCAGTTCTCCTTCTCCTGTTGAGACTGTAAAGGCTGTCGCCCAGTACATAGCTGGTGGTACGACTGTCTCTACATCAGAAACGTAAAACCTGGCTCCTCTCCTTCTTCCTTCCCGGCGGGTAAGAGGGCATCGCTATATTCCTCACCTTTCGACTCCGACTCTATCCTTGCATTCCCTTCCATTTCAGTGGTGGAGTAACCTGTCCCAGCTATGGAGGTTCCCTTGGTCCTTGATTCTCTCTCGGATGCTGCCCCTAATGAAGTGCACTCCCCTGTTTCTGTCCTTTCCCCCGATTCCCTTGACCGCCCCTCTCCGATGCCTCCTCCCGCTCCGGACTCTGTCAGTCTGCCTCTGGTCCATCCTACCACTCTTGATTCCATCGTCTTTGCTAGATTTACCTATGCCACGTAACCCCGATTTCATTGATCCTGATTCTGATCTTAATTAGTATACTGTGTTCTTTGCCTTTGTTTCTCCTTTGTTCTCTGTTTCTGTTCTCCCTATTTTTGACAATGTCTATTCGTCAGTGGAATATTCGTAGCTTTTATACCAATTTCCACGAACTCCAACTTCTGATCACGTAGTTTTCACAGCTTTGTGCCTGTTTTCTGGAGTCAATACTTGGTGCTTGTCCTGGTCACTCCCACGGTTATTCCATTCTCTCCCTAATCCAACTTTTGCTGGGGCCCATAACTCTACTGCTCTCTTGATTCATACTGATATTCCATTCGTTGCCCTACTTTTTCAGTCACCTATCCAATGTTCTGTGTCCCAAAGCATTTACTTTGTGAGTTAATGGTATACGGTCTGTTCCATTTATCTCCCCCCAAATGTCCCACTTTCTCTTCCTGATCTTAAGCATCTCTTGGACTTCTTTCTAGAGCCTGTGCTCCTGTTGGGTGATTTTAACTGTGGGCATACCCCTCTGGGGTGATGCTCTAACAAACACCCGGGGCCGCCTTCTTGAACCTTTTGTCCTGTCTTCTTCTGTCTCTTCTGAATTCTGGTAAACCCACTCATGTGGACTCCTACACTCGCACCCTCTCCAGTCTTGATCTTTCCCTGTATTCGTCTTCTCTTTATTTGTATTTCACATTGCAGGTTCTTGATGACCTCCTCCATAACTGTGACCATTTTCTAATCCTTGTCACCTTCTTTTCTTTTCACCATGCCCTCTCCTTCCCTAGGTGGCAGTTTGCCAAGGCTGACTGCAATCTATTCACCCTCAGCGCTGCTCTTTCCGACCTCTCCGATATGCCTCTTCCTCGCGCCCTCCTCCTTCTTCATGACACCATATTTGATGCTGCCCTCTGCTCTATTACTCGATCAGCCTCCTGCGGCCCGCGGAAGTGCGTTTCCTGGTGGAATGCAGACTGTGCTCGGGCTATTCGCTGTAAGCGTGCAGTTTGAAAGAAACACCAACGCCGACAGACGGCTGATTTTTTCTATAGTTTCGGAAGGCGAGTGCGGGGGCCCGTATGGTCATCAGGCAATGCATGGGAGTTGGTAATCTTATGTCTCCGTATCCTTGTTGAATGTCCTGACTTTCAGGACGTGCGTGTGTCTTGCTTCCCTACCGTCCCTCGCAGACACCTGTCCCTCAATAGAATCCTTGGTGAACCAGATACCTTTGATATTTTTTGCCTTATGCGCCTTTGTTCTAGTAATGTCGTCCTCAGTGATATTAAGCACCTTTTGAATATCCTGCACATTTGATGGTGCTACACAGTCCTCCTAACTTGGCACCTTTTCTGGATAATTACTTACTTGCATATTGATTAAAACTAACTCAAACCTTAGTAATTAGTGTTATGTGTCGTGCACATGCATGGTTTCCCAGGATACTTGCAAGACGAGAGGAGGAGCTCGGAGGTGTTTGTTGGCGGGTACTACATAACAGGCGACCGCGGCTACTACGACGACCGCGGCTTCTTCTGGTTTGTTGGACGCGCTGACGACCTCATCATCTCTGCTGGGTATGTGTACTCACCTAGTTGTGCTTGCGGAGGTTGAGCTCTGGCTTTTTGGGTCCCGCCTCTCAACTGTCAATCAACAGGTGTACAGGTTCCTGAGCCTATTGGGTTCTATCATATCTACACTTGAAACTGTGTATGGAGTCAGCCTCCACCACATCACTTCCTAATGCATTCCATTTGTCAACCACTCTGACACTAAAAATGTTCTTTCTAATATCTCTGTGGCTCATTTGGGCACTCAGTTTCCACCTGTGTCCCCTAGTGCGTGTGCCCCTTGTGTTAAACAGCCTGTCTTTATCAACCCTGTCGATTCCCTTGAGAGTCTTGAATGTGGTGATCATGTCCCTCAAAACTCTTCTGTCTTCCAGCGAAGTGAGGTTTAATTCCCGTAGTCTCTCCTCATAGCTCATACCTCTCAGCTCGGGTACTAGTCTGGTGGCAAACCTTTGAACCTTTTCCAGTTTGGTCTTATCCTTGACTAGATATGGACTCCATGCTGGGGCTGCATACTCCAGGATTGGCCTGACATATGTGGTATACAAAGTTCTGAATGATTCTTTACACAAGTTTCTGAATGCCGTTCTTATGTTGGCCAGCCTGGCATATGCCGCTGACGTTATCCTCCTGATATGGGCTGCAGGAGACAGGTTTGGCGTGATGTTAACCCCCAAGTCTTTTTCTTTCTCTGACTCTTGAAGTATTTCATCTCCCAGATGATACCTTGTATCTGGCCTCCTGCTCCCTACGCCTATCTTCATTACATTACATTTGCTTGGATTAAACTCTAACAACCATTTGTTCGACCATTCCTTCAGCTTGTCTAGATCTTCTTGAAGCCTCAAGAAGTCCTCCTCTGTCTTAATCCTTCTCATAATTTTGGCATCGTCAGCAAACATTGAGAGAAATGAATCTATACCCTCCGGGAGATCATTTACATATATCAGAAACAAGATAGGACCGAGTACAAAGCCCTGTGGGACTCCACTGGTGACTTCACGCTAATCTGAGGTCTCACCCCTCACCATAACTCTCTGCTTCCTATTGCTTAGGTACTCCCTTATCCACTGGAGCACCTTACCAGCTACACCTGCCTGTCTCTCTAGCTTATGTACTAGCCTCTTATGCGGTACTGTGTCAAAGGCTTTCCGACAATCCAAGAAAATGCAGTCCGCCCAGCCTTCTCTTTCTTGCTTAATCTTTGTCACCTGGTCGTAGAATTCTATTAAGCCTGTCAGGCAAGATTTACCCTCCCTGAATCCATGTTGGCGATTTGTCACGAAGTCCCTTCTCTCCAGATGTGTTACTAGGTTTTTTCTCACGATCTTCTCCATCACCTTGCATGGTATACAAGTCAAGGACACTGGCCTGTAGTTCAGTGCCTCTTGCCTGTCGCCCTTTTTGTATATTGGGACCACATTCGCAGTCTTCCATATTGCTGCTAGGTCTCCCGTCCCCAGTGACCTACTATACACTATGGAGAGTGGCAAGCAAAGTGCCTCTGCACACTCTTTCAGTACCCATGGTGAGATCCCGTCTGGACCAACAGCCTTTCTAACGTCCAGATCCAGTAGGTGTCTCTTGACCTCCTCACTCGCAATTTCGAACCCTTCCAAGGCCGCCTGGTTTACTTCCCTTTCTCCTAGTACAGTGACCTCACCTTGTTCTATTGTGAAGACCTCCTGGAACCTCTTGTTGAGTTCTTCACACACCTCTTTGTCATTCTCTGTATACCTGTCCTCGCCTGTTCTAAGTTTCATAACCTGTTCTTTCACTGTTGTTTTCCGCCTGATGTGTGTGTGGCTCCCGCTCCTTGTTGATGCACTGGGTATGTCAGACAATACAAGTCACAGCTTCGTATCATCCTTTGCAGATGACACAAAAATCAGTATGAAAATTATCTCGGCTGAAGACATTGAAAATCTTCAAGCTGATATTAATAAAGTTTTCGACTGGGCATCAGAAAATAACATGATGTTTAACAGTGATAAATTCCAGGTACTCAGGTACGGTAAAAATGAGGACCTTAAACATAATACAGAGTACAAAACACAATCAAATGTACCCATAGTAGGAAAACAGCATGTAAAGGATTTGGGAATAATAATGTCTGACGACCTAACGTTTAAGGAGCATAACCAAGCAAATATTGCGACAGCCAGAAAAATGATAGGATGGATTACGAGAACTTTCAAATCCAGGGATCCCATCACAATGGTTGTACTCTTCAAGGCACTTGTGTTGTCCCGTCTTGAGTACTGCTCAGTACTCACTTCCCCCTTCAGAGCAGGAGAGATTGCTGAAATAGAGGGAATACAGAGAACATATACGGCAGGCATAGACGCAATAAAGCACCTAAATTATTGGGATCGTCTCAAAGCCCTCCAAATGACCTCTAGAAAGAAGACGAGAGAGATATCAAATAATATACACCTGGAAGATACTGGAGGGCCAAGTACCAAATCTACACAGAAAAATAACAACGTACTGGAGTGAACGATATGGAAGAAAATGTAGAATAGAACCAGTGAAGAGCAGAGGTGCCATAGGCACAATCAGAGAACACTGTATAAACATCAGAGGTCCGCGGTTGTTCAACGTCCTCCCAGCGAGCATAAGAAATATTGCCGGAACAACCGTGGACATTTTCAAGAGGAAACTAGATTTATTCCTCCAAGGAGTGCCGGACCAACCGGGCTGTGGTGGGTATGTGGGCCTGTGGGCCGCTCCAAGCAACAGCCTGGTGGACCAAGCTCTCACAAGTCAAGCCTGGCCTCGGGCCGGGCTTGGGCAGTAGAAGAACTCCCAGAACCCCATCAACCAGGTATCAATCAGGTATGTGTGGCTCCCGCTCCTTGTTGGTGCACTGGGTTTGTGTGGCTCCCGCTCCTTGTTGGTGCACTGGGTATGTGTGGCTCCTGCACCTTGTTGATGCACTGGATATCTCTGGCTCCCGCTCCTTGTTGGTGCACTGGGTATGTGTGGCTCCCGCTCCTTGTTGGTGCACTGGGTATGTGTGGCTCCCTATCCTTGTTGGTGCACTGGGTATGTGTGGCTCCTGCACCATGTTGATGCACTGGGTTTGTGTGGCTCCCGCTCCTTGTTGGTGCACTGGGTATGTGTGGCTCCTGCACCATGTTGATGCACTGGGTATGTGTGGCTCCCGCTCCTTGTTGGTGCACTGGGTATGTGTGGCTCCCGCTCCTTGTTGATGCACTGGGTATGTGTGGCTCCCGCTCCTTGTTGGTGCACTGGGTATGTGTGGCTCCCTATCCTTGTTGGTGCACTGGGTATGTGTGGCTCCTGCACCATGTTGATGCGCTGGGTTTGTGTGGCTCCCGCTCCTTGTTGGTGCACTGGGTATGTCTGGCTCCCGCTCCTTGTTGGTGCACTGGGTATGTGTGGCTCCCGCACCTTGTTGGTGCACTGGGTATGTGTGGCTCCCGCTCCTTGTTGGTGCACTGGGTATGTCTGGCTCCCGCTCCTTGTTGGTGCACTGGGTATGTGTGGCTCCCGCTCCTTGTTGATGCACTGGGTATGTCTGGCTCCCGCTCCTTGTTGGTGCACTGGGTATGTGTGGCTCCCGCTCCTTGTTGTTGCACTGGGTATGTGTGGCTCCTGCACCATGTTGATGCACTGGGTTTGTGTAGCTCCCGCTCCTTGTTGGTGCACTGGTATGTGTGGCTCCTGCACCATGTTGATGCACTGGGTATGTGTGGCTCCTGCACCATGTTGATGCACTGGGTATGTGTGGCTCCCGCTCCTTGTTGGTGCACTGGGTATGTGTGGCTCCTGCACCATGTTGATGCACTGGGTATGTGTGGCTCCCGCTCCTTGTTGGTGCACTGGGTATGTCTGGCTCCCGCTCCTTGTTGGTGCACTGGGTATGTGTGGCTCCCGCTCCTTGTTGGTGCACTGGGTATGTGTGGCTCCCGCTCCTTGTTGGTGCACTGGGTTTGTGTGGCTCCCGCTCCTTGTTGGTGCACTGGGTATGTGTGGCTCCCGCTCCTTGTTGGTGTACTGGGTTTGTGTGGCTCCCTCTCCTTGTTGGTGCACTGGGTATGTCTGGCTCCCGCTCCTTGTTGGTGCACTGGGTTTGTGTGGCTTCCGCTCCTTGTTGGTGCACTGGGTATGTGTGGCTCCCGCTCGTTGTTCGTGCACTGGGTATGTGTGGCTCCCGCTCCTTGTTGGTGCACTGGGTATGTGTGGCTCCCGCTCCTTGTTGGTGCACTGGGTATGTGTGGCTCCCGCACCTTGTTGGTGCACTGGGTATGTGTGGCTCCCGCTCCTTGTTGGTGCACTGGGTTTGTGTGGCTCCCGCTCCTTGTTGGTGCACTGGGTATGTGTGGCTCCCGCTCCTTGTTGTTGCACTGGGTATGTGTGGCTCCCGCTCCTTGTTGATGCACTGGGTATGTGTGGCTCCCGCTCCTTGTTGATGCACTGGGTTTGTCTGGCTCCCGCTCCTTGTTGGTGCACTGGGTATGTCTGGCTTCCGCTCCTTGTTGGTGCACTGGGTATGTGTGGCTCCCGCTCCTTGTTGGTGCACTGGGTTTGTGTGGCTCCCGCTTCTTGTTGGTGCACTGGGTATGTGTGGCTCCCGCTTCTTGTTGGTGCACTGGGTATGTGTGGCTCCCGCTCCTTGTTGATGCACTGGGTATGTGTGGCTCCCGCTCCTTGTTGATGCACTGGGTTTGTCTGGCTCCCGCTCCTTGTTGGTGCACTGGGTATGTCTGGCTTCCGCTCCTTGTTGGTGCACTGGGTATGTGTGGCTCCCGCTCCTTGTTGGTGCACTGGGTTTGTGTGGCTCCCGCTTCTTGTTGGTGCACTGGGTATGTGTGGCTCCCGCTTCTTGTTGGTGCACTGGGTATGTGTGGCTCCCGCTCCTTGTTGGTGCACTGGGTTTGTGTGGCTCCCGCTCCTTGTTGGTGCACTGGGTATGTGTGGCTCCCGCTCCTTGTTGGTGCACTGGGTTTGTGTGGCTCCCGCTCCTCGTCGGTGCACTG